ATGCTGATCTTTAGTTCCACAGCTTACTCTTAGCTTCCAGCCCAGACTCCTAGGTTCACTGAGCAGTTGGCTGCTTGAACATTTTAAAAAAAAAGGTGTCACGGCTGAGGAGTATAGCAATTCCTAACATCTAGCCTTCATTTTGAGCCAGACATGTCTCTACTAATGTGATGTAATATATTGCTGATATATGCTCTGTAGAGTTGCGCACGAAAAGTAAAATGATACCCATTTAGTCCTAGATATTTCTTTTCATATTGGTAACTAAAAGTAATAAAACTAAAGTCTGGATAAGAGCTTCCTATGATGTGTATATGTAAGGCTTGATCTCTAGAATGTGGTAGTTTTGGAAGACAATAGCAATTGCAGGAGGAAGTGAGCTTCCTGGCATCAAGTTTGACTGCTGCAGATGTATCCTTGAGGAGATAAAAGGACTCCCTCCCCTACCTTCTCTCTCATTCCTTTATAAGAAGGTTTTATAAGAAACCTCTCTTGATAGGCTCCAAAATGATCCTTCTTTACAGATGTAAGGTAGAGTGGCAAACTGACCATGAACTAAAACCCTATCACTGTTAGCCAAAATGAAGCAATTTTATTTCATTTCAAATATTTCTATTACAGTATTAGAAAATGACTAGCACAGAAACCCTATTGCAAAATATATTTGTAATTTTTCTTCTGTAAAAAATATCCTACTTACGTTCTTTTACCACTTATGGCTAAAAAGTTTAGTGACTTATATGTTATAAATATATCAAAGTATAACAGTCTATCAGCTCTATAACACTACAGTGTCTAAGAACATATATTGTATCACAGGATGAATAAATGATAGACTACAAGTTTTAATGATATATACATAGTCTCCTACATCTTACTCTCATGGAGCAATCTTAAGACTAATATGAATACTACTAACAGTTCCATTAGCATCATATGTAGCTAAAAATATATCTATGAATCCAAATGAGTGAACATTTCTTAAGAACTATGCTTTAATTGTTACAATGCACTATTTGTTGACAATTTTTTGTATAATAACAAAATAATAAAAAAATCTGTAACTTTAGTATGTGAACTACATAATGAAATATTTGCTAAAAAATGTAAATGATTTTTAAGCACCCACTAGCAAACTAAAACATAGCTATTTATAACACATTGAAAATTATATAAACCATAAATGACATGAGCAATTAAGTGTTGTTAAATTATTTTAATGAAATTAATTAATTTTCCTCAGAGAATGTGTTAAATTTTGAATAAGGAAATCAGAGCTATGTCAACATTTTCCTCTATATTTGAGTTGATATGTTTGTAGTTTACGTAGTTTACTTATATAAAAACTTGTCTTTATTCATAAATTTTATAACTTAACATTCTCCCTCCAACTTTTAAATTTATCTAGTTTACCAAAATTCTTCTTTTAAACTTGATGTGTGTGTTTTTTCCATGTTAGTTATATCAACCTATAATTTTGAACTTCAATATTTTCACTGTATTCACAGATCTTAAACATGAGCTCAAATTAATATTTAAAACTAGTATTCTGGTTGAATATTAAGAACACTAAGAAAAATGACTAAGAATGTACTATATTAGTATATAGGCTCTCCAAAGAGAGACCAAGAAAAGAAATCCAAAGTATCCAATGCTTTATTCAATACAAATGATCTGTCTTTGGTGAGGCAAAGACAGTTTCTCTGACTCTTTGGTTTCTTCCTAAGAAATCTCCATAGAATGTCCTGCTCTCTTCTGTTTGTATCCTGACCCTCTAAGATTAGTGCTGGTGTTTTGTCCTTTTATTCAACTTCTATTGTCTATACCACTTAGAAGTTTTTGGTTTTAAGACATTGAAAATCAAGCACAAAATTTTTATGACTACCTAAATGGATTTAGCTTCATATATGACTGCTTTCCTTAGTGGATAAGAATCCCTCCAACTATCTCTGTCTCTTACCCTTAATCTCCATCATTCTCCTTCTTTATTTTTTCCATTGCAGAGCTAACTCTACTAACTGTGGCTCCATTAGCCATCACTATGTAGTCTCAAGGTCCTAGTAATGAAGCAGGGAGTTCAAAGTACCTTGGTTTTTATTGTTGTTTGTTTGTTTTGGGTTTGGTTTTTGGGTTTGGGTTCGTTTTAGTTTTGTTTTTGTTTTTTTGTTTTTTGTGTTTTGTTTTTTTTTTTGTTTTCATTTTCTTATAGCATCAAAGATGTCATTTTTAAAATAAAGTTTAGAAAGTGAATTTTGATTTTATTTATTTGGATAACCTTTGTTATGTGAAGTAGACCAATAGGCTAGAAGCAATTAGAAACCATCTAGAAAGTTTATAGAACCCTCAAATCTACTTAATATACATGATCTTAAAGCTTTGGCAAAGGTAAAACACATGAAAGTGAAAGATGTTGATAAAGAACATGGATAGAGAAACTCAGCCATGTTGTCTAGATTTTAGAGAACTGTGATTAGTCATTGTGCCTAACAAGGTAACTATGTAAACTAAACAATTGCACATGCAGTTTCTATTTTGTAATCTTGATTAATTAAGATTTTCTGCCTGCCCTTCAACATTATGCTTGGAAGACTCAATAAAAGAGCAAAATTAAATTGTGATATACTATAGATTATTATGAATTTGTAAGCTAGAGGTGCAGCCCTCGTTCAAAATAAAGAACCTTCTTGGTATTTTTATATTATATCTTTATACATATATCACCATTAATGCAATTTTTTAGAGTGTTCTACACACTTAAAAGTTAATTATCTTGGGTGAATCATAAGTATTTATATGCAGAATGTTGATGTGAGATACCATTATCCTCTGTCTAAGAATAATTTAATTTCAAGCACACAAGCACTTGGGATGCTCATTTACTATCTGAAAAATATAAATGTAACAAACTGTTTTCTGAAAAATGAAAGCTTCACAAAAACAAAACACTTCTCTAAGTTTAAGTGCATTTGAATTTTTTTCTAAATCACAATAATACAACTAATATTATCATAATATAATTACTATCTATACAAGAAAAACTTCATATGGCATAATTCCTTTGCAAATCTTTTTTGTTCCTTTTTTGATAGTGGAGTTGTAAAGTTTCAACTCTCAATCTCAACTTCTCCTCCAGACATCATATATGTTGTACGTGATTTCATATTTGAGGTATAGCTAGAGACAATGGTTTCATATTGTGAAGACATTTGACTGCAGAGAAGGCAATTGATATTGTTATGATAAGAGGCTCATTAATATACACATTTTGCAGTATACACAAGCGCTGGAGCATATATCCAACTTTGTGTCTCAAAAATGTGTGGATATTTTCTGTTTCTGTTGATGTTAGCATAGGGCATTTAATGCAGAGGTAACTTGAGTGATGACAATGCTGCCCCAGAAAATGTCCAACTCTAAGAGTTGGAAAAGTGCTAAAATGGATAAAGTGCTCTCCTCCTCCTAGAATTATCTAATCCAGAGCAGCAGATATGGCTGGCTCACCAGTAAAATGTGCCTGACACCAACCCTGGTGAACTGATTTTGATCCTAGGACTCTTTGCTGGAAGAAGCAAATTGACTCCTAAAGAGTGTCCTATTATCTCTACACATATGTTCTAACATATGCACCCATACACACACACACACTCACACACACACACACACAGAGAGAGAGAGAGAGAGAGAGAGAGAGAGAGAGAGAGAGAGAGAGAGAGA